GATATCGGTATAGGAACAAAGATATTGGTATAGGAACAAAGATATCTGTATAGGAACAAAGACATCGGTATAGGAACAAAGATATCAGTATAGGAACAAAGATATCGGTATAGGAACAAAGATATCGGTATAGGAACAAAGACATCGGTATAGGAACAAAGACATTGGTATAGGAACAAAGATATCGGTATAGGAACAAAGATATTGGTATAGGAACAAAGATATCTGTATAGGAACAAAGACATCGGTATAGGAACAAAGATATCAGTATAGGAACAAAGATATCGGTATAGGAACAAAGATATCGGTATAGGAACAAAGACATCGGTATAGGAACAAAGACATTGGTATAGGAACAAAGATATCGGTATAGGAACAAAGATATTGGTATAGGAACAAAGATATCTGTATAGGAACAAAGACATCGGTATAGGAACAAAGATATCAGTATAGGAACAAAGATATCGGTATAGGAACAAAGATATCGGTATAGGAACAAAGACATCGGTATAGGAACAAAGACATTGGTATAGGAACAAAGATATCGGTATAGGAACAAAGATATTGGTATAGGAACAAAGATATCTGTATAGGAACAAAGACATCGGTATAGGAACAAAGATATCAGTATAGGAACAAAGATATCGGTATAGGAACAAAGATATCGGTATAGGAACAAAGACATCGGTATAGGAACAAAGACATTGGTATAGGAACAAAGATATCGGTATAGGAACAAAGATATTGGTATAGGAACAAAGATATCTGTATAGGAACAAAGACATCGGTATAGGAACAAAGATATCAGTATAGGAACAAAGATATCGGTATAGGAACAAAGATATCGGTATAGGAACAAAGACATCGGTATAGGAACAAAGACATTGGTATAGGAACAAAGATATCGGTATAGGAACAAAGATATTGGTATAGGAACAAAGATATCTGTATAGGAACAAAGACATCGGTATAGGAACAAAGATATCAGTATAGGAACAAAGATATCGGTATAGGAACAAAGATATCGGTATAGGAACAAAGACATCGGTATAGGAACAAAGACATTGGTATAGGAACAAAGATATCGGTATAGGAACAAAGATATTGGTATAGGAACAAAGATATCTGTATAGGAACAAAGACATCGGTATAGGAACAAAGATATCAGTATAGGAACAAAGATATCGGTATAGGAACAAAGATATCGGTATAGGAACAAAGACATCGGTATAGGAACAAAGACATTGGTATAGGAACAAAGATATCGGTATAGGAACAAAGATATTGGTATAGGAACAAAGATATCTGTATAGGAACAAAGACATCGGTATAGGAACAAAGATATCAGTATAGGAACAAAGATATCGGTATAGGAACAAAGATATCGGTATAGGAACAAAGACATCGGTATAGGAACAAAGATATTGGTAGAGGACCAAAGATATCGGTATAGGAACAAAGATATTGGTATAGGAACAAAGACATTGGTATAGCAACAAAGATATCGGTATAGGAACAAAGATATTGGTATAGGAACAAAGATATCGGTATAGGAACAAAGATATCGGTATAGGAACAAGGATATTGGTATAGGAACAAAGATATCGGTATTGGAACAAAGACATCGGTATAGGAACAAAGATATCGGTATAGGAACAAAGATATTGGTATAGGAACAAAGATATCAGTATAGGAACAAAGACATTGGTATCGGAACAAAGATATTGGTACATGTATGTGTGACAGCTGTGTCAGGTTAACATTTCATACAAAAATATCTTACTTTTGTGTTTTGGTTCCTGGGTAGGAACAGAGGGCAAATCGTCCAGCATAGGTCCAACATCCAGCAACTGCTCATCCAGTTCTGCCTGTTCTAATTCCTCCAGCTCAGATAACAGTTCATCCTGTGGTCAAATTTACATAAATGGTCAGAAGAGGTCATCGTTATGTCAAACCATTGGACATTCTGCAGTTACTTAAATTATTATTAGAAAATGTCTGTAGGACATGAATACCCCCGTCACCATGTGAAATTGGGTTCAGTGTTTGATGGGACGGGAAAGGACGGGACAGACATGGGTAACACTATATGCCCCCCCCCCCCCCATTTTATGGCCGGGGCATAAAAATTAAGTTGTTATTACAGCAACCAGCCCAACATCTACATTTCCCTTGACACATATGTATACCTACCTCATCCACATCCTCTCCGAAACCTACTGGATTAGATATAGCCTCTGTTATTTCATTGGCCACCTCTTGCTGGTCGGCTACCTCATCCATCATAATGTGAACTTTGTCCACGTCTCTGTAAACAAGCCGTTATATAGAGTAGGGAGCGAAATTTTACTGTGTTACATAGAAAACCAGGGTAACCTGAAACTTTTGCTATATTTACTGTTTATAGTGAGACTGCAAAATTTGTTGTGGTTATTGAAAAAGTTGTGTTAAAATACTGACACAATTGACCCCCGTAACCTTGAAAGAAGGTTACCTTCTTTCATTTAAACGAACTTAGTTGCCTTGCATCCCAGCATGCTATTGTTCAAATATCATCTGATCCTCTGCCTCCTGGGTATTCAGAAGAAGTTTAAAGGTTTAAATATTTGACTGCTGTGAAATATGGTAAAACCTAGGTCATTCATTAGAAAAAGTTGATAGCCATTCATTCCAGCATACTTTTGGCCAAATAGCAGAAGTTGTTTAAAGTTAAAAGGTTGACGTTGAACGGATGCAGATGCCAGGCCACCACATTATCTCCCTTGGCCCTTTTGATAAGTTGAGCTAATGAATGTCAATTCAAAACAATTATCAACCTTTAATTTTTTCTTAAAAAATATATTTTAATAATTTTCACTGTAAAGGTGACAACTATAATGCATCAAAACATTTTGGATACAAGAAAAGTCACAAATTGAACCACTTTTTATGACCCAATAAACATTCAGTTACAGAAAAAGCTGAATGCAGGAAGAAAGGATGAGGTGAGTAAGTTATGTAGAAAGGATAAGGTATGTAACGTACAGGTTTTTGTGTGCTCCTTTCATCGCCTTGGCTGCTCCCTGCATAACCTTTAGAACCTCTGTATTAGTATTGGCATTCTCCAGAGCCTCTCTTTGGAATTCTATCGTCGACAAAGTGCCGTCAATGACTGTTAATTGTTTCTCATAGCGCTTCTTCCTCTTCAGTGCCTGAAGGGCAACTACAAATAAGAAATATGTGTCTGTACATGATTTCAATATCATATATTTACATTTGTGCTGCAACCCACTATAAAAACATTACTAGCAGAAATGCATTATATTTGAGTATGAAAGCAAGAACTCTTGTGACGTAACACGTGGCTTACTTATGACGTCATAGATTAACCTTGTTCAATGAAAGTCTTGTCACTTCGAATAACATGGAGAATGCTCCTGCGTCAAACGACTACAGTTAATTATTGGTCACTATTTTAGTTAAATAAGGCTGTTCCCCCAATGTTGTTTAGAGGACGTCGCATATACAAAATGCAGTAAATTCAATATGGATGTAACCGATTTGCGTTTGTACCAGCATGTAAATTTTAAAAACGCTGTTCAATCCCTATATCAAGTTCCATGATGTCAATGGTATATTGTAAATCACCTTACTTTTGTTTGTCTATTCATGAGGAGATTAATTTGAGAACATTTCATAGATTAATACTGCAAATTCAAGTATTCATGATTAAAACCTTGACATAATTAATGAAATAAGATACACATGATGCAGCACGACACACATCCTGTCCCAGGGGAATATCGCACTCGCGCTTGTTTACAGCGTAAGTGCGATTTCCCCCTGGGACAGAGGATGCACGATGAAGATTCAAATACGTGTACTGACTTATTGGAGAAGTTAATACCAAATTCAGACATGATACTGTTTAGAAAAAAAGCTAGCTATGAGCTCCCATTCAGAGCCATCCTCTCAATATTGTAAAAGTACTCAAAGTCTAGAAGTTCTATATCTGTAGTATAGTTGAGGTGCAGTTTGCGGATCCCTACGGTGAAAAGCAACAATTACCAAACATCAGATGATCTGTTTGTCAATGATCCAGGAAATATGTATTACACACTTGGTATTTCCTAGAAGAGGTCCAGAGGGCCTACAACACTCAACTGAGTGTATAAGCCAAGCATCTGTGATTGCACACTAGACGAGAAAAACTACTCAACAATTCCTGTGATTTGTAAGCTGCATTTTAGTCTAGCTTGTTTGTGTCAATAGAAGAGCTGTTGTATTTACTTTGGACAGTGAAATGTCAAAAACAGCTTTTGAACTTGTAGATTTAAAGAAGCTATTGTAGTTGTGAGCATATTTGACCTGTGTGATTTTGAAAGCAGTTCAATTATTAGAGGAAACAGGTAGCTACTGGCTGAATATCATGAATGTAAGATTGACAAGAAGATTTTATAATCCTTTTTTTTTTTTTACCGAATCAGCCTATGTTGATCATTAATCTGTCTGCACTTGAAGTTCACAGTTGACCTCAACACAATGAATCATTAAAAGAATTGCAGAACAGCTCTAGACTAGCAGGCTTTTTATTAATTTATATTTGAACAAACCGAGTGACAATTTTCATTGGCCCTCTTCTGTAACATTACGTATAAGATATATTAGAACAAATGTGATTTGAAAACTCCAAAATCAGAACTGAACCTGAATTTCGTATGAAATTATTTAAAGGAAATTCTATTAGCAGGCCTCCAAATCATGCATCTGCCCCCTTAATCCCTGGACTAAGATTTTTTGAAGGAATTCCATGTTCTTACAGGAATCAAAATCAGCTACATGCAAGGTATTACAATAGTGTCAGGAATTAAGATCCAGCTATCTTATAGTATAAGTCATAATCCAGCTGTTTAATAGTAATGGTTCGAAATCCAGCTACCAACGAGGAAGGCCAGTGGCTAAACTATCTGATTTATATGGCCACAAATCACTGGAAAGTTAGAAGACAAAAACAAAAATCTGATAATTTAAAAACTGTTTTACTATCAACATGTCATCTTACAATTAGAATATAGTTTAACAATACATACCAGTAAGTGGTAACGTTTCAGGTGAAATCTCATCTTTTGATATTAACTACAGGTATACCTTAATGCTATAAGCAATGAAACTTCAAAGCCAATCTCTCTTAGAGAATTTAGATACTGTGCAAAAAAGTTGGGAAAATCATCTAAACCATAAAATAAATATATGCCTTACAGTAAAACCTTGATATACTGCCCTCTGTTTCACCTGCCACCTCACTGACCCAAAATATATCACCAGTCCTCTTTTCTGATTTACTTAATAACTTCTACAACTCCCCAAGTGTGTTATCCACCCTGAAATTTCACCCAGCAAAAGGTGGCAGTGTAACAGGGTTTTACAGTGTTAACCTTATTTTTTCAGTCAAGAATATGAATTCTTTAAACTGTCTATTTATGATAAGGTTATAGACTCACTGTTAAGGATATTTAGTTAAGGCTGTATCCTACCATACTTTACATATCTCTTTCCCAAAAGAGTTCTAAACTAAGAATCCTAAAAGTACTGTCTTTTATGTTGTAATTTGGACTATCAACACAACCGAAATCAGAATGAACACGTTCATAAAATTATCGAGGTTCTGAATTATACTCAGGCGAGATAACTCTGATCAAAATATGAAACATACTGTTAAAGGTAGCATATAGCCTTAACTCTAACACAAATTACAGGTGTAGTATGTAAGCAGATAACCGTAGCTGAAGATCCCCTTTCTTGAAAACCATATCACAAGAGATAACATAAAACTTTAAACAAACATGTATACATTCATTAACAGTCGTTTGATGATTTGTTCCAGGACAGATTTTTCATTCATATAGACTGGAAGCCTATTGAAAGGTGGTTCAAATGTTTTAAGAAAATATTTCAATGTGTGATCACAATTTTTACAAATATCTATACATGTACACTTGTTGATAACTAATGTCTTATTCAAGGATTTGCATTTGTCTCATATATTCATAAAACAAGGGGAAAATTATTTAAAATAGAAAGTGAAATCTTACCAAAAACTATGAAAAATATTTACAATAACAAACTCAACTTTTTAATGAAATTCACCTGGACAAAGCACCAGAAAGATGAACAATGTGTTGAAATGATGGGCTTTGGAAAATCAATTGATTCATTTTGAAGTAAATCTAGGAAAATAAAAGATGCATACAACAATAAATGAAAATTTAAATTTTCTGACAGAAGTCCACATTTGTTTTTCTTTGCGAGAGGCAGACAATTTTTCAACACATGCTATAATATATATGTACAGCAGTTAAAGCAAAAAGCATAGCAGTTTAAATTTCATTTATTTATAATTTTGTAAATACAGTAAGACCTTTCATTTCAACAGATTTTATTGACATGGAGTTATGGTCAAATGGATCGAATAACAGGCAAGCCTATATAAATTCTTTAAGACCTTGTAATATCATCGCCATTGTCAGCCTAAATTGTAAAATTGTCTTGAACTTTTTATGCTCAGTCAATCAGAAGTGATAGACAGTGGCTATGTTGGATTTCGGTATCTTTATTATATCGCAATATTTAGAAAGGATATCCACCAAGTGTCCCAGATTAATCAGACAGGACAATACAATGATTATTTTACAGTAAATCCCCATTTTTTATTCTTAGCAACAGTGACAATGCCCTCACAAACTTTTCAACTCCTATTGGGCATTCACATATAACTGTGAATCACCCATGATTTTATACAAATGGTAACAGGGCCACTTGACAGATATTGTTTTGCTGAGCTTCTTTTTCACACCGGAAAGTTTTTAATTTTTACATAATATAAAAAATAAAGCAATTCATGAAAGAAGGAGCTTGCATAAATAAACATGTATGATTTTACAAATAACTCACCAAAAAGAAACTTTTTTTCAGGAACATGAAAATAAAAGTTTTGTTTAGATACATAGATATCCAGAACCTTTTTCATTTACTATTTAACTCTTCCATACACTTGCTTCAGAACAGTTTTTTTGCTAAATATCCCAAATCAGGGGTGTAAAAATTATTTGCAGAGGAGCAAGCAGGCCTCAGAAATTCACTTTTTTAAGAATGTTTCTGATGTTATTACATTTCTCAGGGCAATTTTGGCCTAAAAACTGGTTTTCACCAGAATTAGGTAAGATAATCTCATTCACCTGTAACAGTATTCCCAAAATTTTATTTCGTATTTAACAGAGTAACTACATATTAAAAGTCAAAATGAATAACTTCAAACAGAATGTAACATAATCCATTTTAATATTTATTTCTTTTATCAATTTTCATACCCAAATGATCAGTAAATAAAGAAAATTGTAAACAAATACAATATTCATATGGTTATATTCACATCATCTACATATTCACAATTATCTACACTCCAGAATTTCTTACATATACTCATATTGATTATCTATAAACACAAGGATAGTTAGGAAATATGCACATATTATACAGTCAAGAAAATAGAATATACAAAATATGTTATAGCAAAGAAGGTAAAACCATTTACAGTGAAAAGTCAATTGAAGTATAAATACAATTCTCCAAACACATGCGCACACTCACAAACACACACCCATCCTCACTATATACTTATCGTGCTATTGTGAGCTGTTTTGTAATCAACACTTCTCAAAAAGCTGCAAACAACATTGTTCAACAGAAGTCTGTTGTGCTAAAATTGCAAGTACATTAAAAATATTGATGACTTTATCAAAGAGCAAATGAAAACAATAACAATTTTTTTATAAAAGGGATAAGAAATCAAAGTATGAACTGTCCAGGACCTTTTAAATCATTTCTTTCTTAAATTGGAATTAATTTTAGATTTACCTATTGTATTAACTCATTCACCCCTGAAAATTCATAATGAACTATTCCAACCTTTGAATTGGAAGAGTTCAAGTGTGTTTTCAGGGGTGAATGTGTTAACAGATTTTCATAATTTAAAATATTGTCTGTGATTAGCAAAGTGATGCAATCATAATAAAGGAGTAAAATGTTCATACTATTTAACTTGGAACAAATGTTTCCAGATTTGACATAAGTGAAGCTTGTTTAAGAAGGGCTTAGCTTATTACCAAGCATGCCCTGATCACCGGTCAGTGTGGTAATATGCACTTTACGCCTAACCGTCCTTTCCACAGCAGAGACTTCGTGTAAGACTGGACTAGTTCCAGGTGAAATAATGGCATCAAGATGCATTTTTTTTAAAATATTTAACAACAATTAAATTCTATCGACTGCAATGATCTTTAGATATGTTAGGAATAAGAGTAATGGCAAAATTTGAATTCTAGCTATCACACTCTCCTTGAATCCTTAACTCAGTATCCCACATCTATCAACACTCAGCAAGGCTGCCTTCAGCCTGGGTCAATCTAGATAGGTCTGCACATTATAAATAACATAAGGCAAGTGTCTGTGTGTATCAGCACATTTTTGGTATCTTTAGCTCGCCCAGGCAGCAAGCTCCTTCATGTCATCATCATCATCTGCTACGGCAACCTTCCCTGCAACACAAAATTAGAGTGTAAGAATCTAATGGATCACAGGTATGCTTTTAAATTAACCTACTGGATCATTATTATGCTTTAAGTGAACTTACTAGATCACCAGTATGCTTTGTATGAACCTACGGGGGGCACATCTTCCATTTATAAATATTCAATTCCCTTTCTCCAGAACAAATTTGGTTAAAATCCCTTCAACGGTACAGAAGGAGAAGGATCTTTAATGTTTTCCTCTATTTCCCCTAATGGACCTCACCCAACTGCCCCAAAGAAGGGGGTCCTAACACATCAGTTTATACAAAATTGATTCTTTTGTCCCTAAGCATGCTTCAGACTGCATTTGGTTTTAATCCCTTCACTTGTATAGTAGGAGAAAAAAACCCATCTATTTTCCCTATTGGGCTCTGCCCTTATGCCCCCAAAGGGGGCACACCCTCCGTTTATACAAACTTGAGGTTCCATTGTCCAAAGATGCTCTAGAACAAATTTGGTCAAAATCCTTCTATTGGTTGAGAAGAAGAAATTTTTAAGGTTTTACCTATTTTCCCCCTATTTGGCCCCGCCCTCTGGGGGGGCCATACCCTCCGTTTCTACAAAACTAAGAACCCTTTGGCCAATGATGATCCAGATCAAATTTGGTCAAAATCCCTTCATCGGTACAAAAGGAGAAGGATCTTTAATGTTTTCCTCTATTTGCCCTACTGGGCCCCATCCATCTGCCCCAAAGAAGGGGGCCCACATACCTCAGTTTATACAAAATTGATTCTTTTGTCCCCGATCATGCTTCAGACTGCATTTGTATAGTAGGAGAAAAAAAATCCTATTTTCCCCCTATTTGGCCCCGCCCCTCTGCCCCCAGGGGGACCATACCATCCTTTTATACAAAACTGAGAACCCTTTGGCCAATGATGCTCCAGAACAAAATTTGGTCAAAATCCTCTGAGCCATATAGGACAAGTAGCGCTTTAAAGGGACGCTGCGCCATGGGATAAGCTCACTTGGCCCTTTGGGCCAGGTGAGCTAGAAATCATCGTCTGAAATTCATTTGGTACATGTGGATACCCTGAAGGCAGGTACCTCACATTTAGCAGAGGAAAATACTGTTGGACTTTTGTTCTCGAGTACTTACTGGTGGCCTTTGGTTCTGCAGTAGGAACAGACGGTAAGTCTACCAACCCTTCACCGATGGGTCCAACATCTAGTAGCTGTTCGTCTAACTGCTCCTGTTCTAGGTCTTCTAGTTCAGCTAAAAGGTCATCCTGTGAACACACAAAAGAACCGTCAGAAACGCATTTTATAACAAGGGTAGAAATGAATAACATCAACAGTGCATTTTAAGGCAACAGTAGAATGTGCCTTTTACACAATATTTAAGACAGGACAGCAAGGGCCCATGCAGTGTGCCTGACTGTATATATATCCACCATAATCACAAAACCTCAAGAGATCATCTTGAATTTCATAATAACAAGGCTTTATATACACATCTGTAATCCAACAAGGTAGTACCATTTACCAAAAAATATAAATGAAATCGGACTAACAGAACAGGATGCTGTACCACGGCATAAGGCTATAATGGCCTGCTGAGTTACAGAGTATACTTCTAAACTATGGTCTACTTGCCTCGTCCACATCCTCCCCGAAGCCTACAGGGTTGGAGATAGCCTCAGATATCTCATTGGCAACATCCTGCTGCTCTGCGATCTCATCCATTACATCGTGCACCTTGTCCACGTCCCTGGAATAAACACAAAGACACTGTCATGCTTTTTTCATACCCTGGACTAATATGGTATTTGCATTTTTGTTAACTTTCACATTTTATCATAGACTTAGACATTCTGCATATTATAATATGGAGCATTTGATTCTTTTTAACATTTCAATGTTGATGATATTGTACACCTGCTATTGATTTATTGCTTGAATAAATTTTCAATGATATGACACATTACTATTTTTTTAATACCAGTACTTGAATTGATTTCCAACATCACAATCATATATTGAAATACGACATACCCCATCTCTAGAAAAACTTTGGTATCAAATATAAACAAGGACTATACATGTACATAGTGGAGCACAAGACAATTTAATGGGTATCAGTTTGTGACACTCTGCTGTCCCACAAGGTACGCATACTTACATACAAAATATGGCAATTGTGGGCGACAGACTTCATGGACAGAGTGAACACAAACAGTCAAAATATATAATAAGGCACAAGACCACATTTCAATAAGTGACACTATGCCAATCCAAACAGTTTTCACACACAAAATTTAGCAACTGTCGGTGAGAGAACATACAGAATAAACCCTGGACAAATGGAGGCAATGGCGCATTCACCTGAATGAAGGATGTCGTGCAAACTTATTGCCCCCTCCCCCCAAGGTGTACTGGTTGGGAATAATAATGATATTTACATGTCTTTATGTGCTGATTTCATCGCCTTGGCTGCAAATCCCATAACTCTTAGAACCTCGGTATTGGTACTGGCATTTTCTAGAGCCTCTCTTTGGAATTCTATCGTCGACAAAGTTCCATCAATATTTGCTAACTGCTTCTCAAATCTCTTCTTCCTCTTCAGAGCTTGGAGGGCAACTGAAAATGAAAAAAAAAATATGAACAGATCCATTTGAACTATAAGTGCTAACAATATCATTTGTTTGAATTTGTTGTTCAGTGACTGAAGAGTTCCCCTATGTCTATCATTGTTGTTCAGTGACTGAAGAGTTCCCCTATGTCTATCATGGTTGTTCAGTGACTGAAGAGTTCCCCAATGTCTATCATGGTTGTTCAGTGACTGAAGAGTTCCCCTACGTCTATCATGGTTGTTCAGTGACTGAAGAGTTCCCCTTTGTCTATCATGGTTGTTCAGTGACTGAAGAGTTCCCCTATGTCTATCATTGTTGTTCAGTGACTGAAGAGTTCCTCTATGTCTATCATAGAACATTATCATAGAACAGGTTAACATGTACACTACATTACCACGTTGTTGATTCAGACAGAAGGATTAAGTAGTAATGACAAGGTTTCTGAGAATTTGCAATTGGATTTTGTGATTTTATAACAATAAGTTAATAGTGCCAGATATTGAAGTGCGAAATTTCCAAGCTTGAGTCTTCAGATTAGCAAGATCCTACTGTACAATTTTGTATGATATAAACGTGCATAACAAAGAGATCTCAAATGATGAATTTGGTGTCTCTGTTACTATTTGAAAGTGACTCATTAAAATCAAGTATAATATATATATATAATACTTCCACGTTATAATAAGAAGCAGTATATAGTGTCGACACATTATAATAGGTAGTTTATGTATATCTGACAAATTATGATAAGGTTATATATTGATGGCACTTAATAATATGTGGTAGGTATTGTCCGGACACAATACAACATATACTGTAAAATCATAAATTTTCGTAAGACATTAAATTTCGTTTATATTGTGGATAACATAAAACCACGAATGTAAATCCCCACAAAAAATACATAAATTTGGTATGATATAGATAGAGGAAAATCAGAAATCAGCGAAATATAATTTAAAAATAAATTTAAAATGAAACTTGCTAGTACATGTATATGAAAACCACAAAATTTTAACCCCATGAAAATAAATGATTCTACAGTATGTAGTTGTACATAATGCTGACCCATTATAATATGTAGTTATAGTGTTGACACATGATGCAACACTATGATAATATATAGTGCTTACACATGAAAATATGTAGTTGACATTTAAAATGCCAATTCAAAAGAATTTTTAGTTATATATATATAGTGTGGTTATATTAGATCATGTTTTCCTACATCCTCATAGGTTGTATCACAATCCTGAGGAGGTCGGTGATTCGTGATATTGACTTGGTGTTGCTATTTTTAGGCGCAGCATCACAATGCTCTCTGCCAAATGCAGTTCTTTTCTCTTGATGATTTGCTTATACTCTATATAGCTATCTTATCTAATGATGAAAGCATAATATTTTCATATCCTATAACACAATCATGGACTTTTCTTGAGGTGAATATGTGGATATATGGACCTGGTAAAGTGATATTAACCTCGATCAAAGAAAGTGATACTGACCTCGACATAGTCTCCATCGCTTTTCCAGGTCATATCCACATATTGACCTCAACAAAAGTCCATCATTGATAAATATATAATGCCAACATATTATAACATGTTGTTGTACTTATTGCCGGTACATTAGGCCCCCCTAGTATCCCGAACGACCCTAGTTTTGACCTCTGATCCTAACAATTTTATCTAACTCTAATGCACTAAGACGTCCAATTTGAACGCGCCAAAAACGTAAAAGTCTTTATAACACCTCTCTATTTCATAGGCAGGCATCAAAACTAAATATATATCTTATATTATTATTTAAAAGACCTTAAGATATAATAAAAAATGAACACAATTGGTCTGACTAACTATGTTTGGTGATTTTTTAATTTCTTAAATAAGCCCCCCTCAAAAACATTTTTTTTAAATTGACTATAAATCCTTACCGACCTACCCTATGTTTTTCAGTCATTTTACCTGAAACATACAATTGTTTGGCCTTATACATGTACCTATATGCTTAAAAAGAATGACCCATTAAAGTTAGGTTCCGTCAGGTTTTGTCTCATTGTAAGCTATGGTAATATGGCAAGGTTATTTATATAAATGTACTACTGTGTAAGGTGACATACTCTGTATTGATAAAGCTAAGTAACAGAATAAGCCTGAAACATCAACACAATGAATTTAGAATCTCTATCATTAAGATACATGCATAATTTCCACACAATGCAAGCAATGCTATGATCACTATCAACACTTGATGCATACACACCTGTACACACACCTTAACATGACATTATTGATACATTTGTCTGGGCTACAAAATGTTATGAACAAAAAAATACCAAATGTTCCTTATAGTTTGGCGACCAACTTCTTTTGTAGTACGTCAAAGACTGTTTTATTACACACACTGTTCATAAACAAAACACAGAAGTTTTCAAGTTTAATAATATAGTTTTTAATAAAAAAGTACAACTCCATTGAAGTCTGTTTTGTCTTACACATTTTTAAGTTTTTTGGTGGTTTTTTTCATCATCTCAAGAAACTTAACAACAAATATGATTCCAATGCATACTGTATATTGTAATCATTTGACACATTTGTGTATGGTAATAAACAAATTTGTAATGAATCAATCATCAGAATCAGAAAGGGAAAACTGTTCAATTTTCATTTATAATCAATCTTTGGCTCGTTAAGTCTAGATCCACAGTAAATCACCCAATTTACATGCAAATTGCTTAAATATTTCAAATTGAAGAACAGATATCTTTTTTTAGCAATTTCCAAATTTGTATAAGCAATTAAGTTAAATAGGCAGTGCAGACAAAAAACATGTCAATTTTCAGAGTGACATGATAGTACAACTGTTACATACAGATCTAAAGAGAACATCCATCTACACAATAAGATATGGAAACATCAGGTACATACTTCAAAGATAACTGAACAGGTACACATGGCGCAATACAAGTTTATTATGTGTTGTTTCAATTATTGATTTTGATAAAAAAAAAAGATTGATTTATTGGAATAACTTGTATTACCAATTATGAAATTCTATAATAGATTATTAGGTTGAAAAGACTCCATGTTTTTGTNATATTAAATCATTTCTGCAGGAGATGTTGACTGCTCAGTCAGCATGAGTTTTCGTCGCTTGCCATTTCTTTGTATTCGTACCGTTCCCAGATTTTTATATTTCCTGCGTTATTCGTTCCTTCCGGAAGGAGCTTTACAGTTTTAACACCGCAACTTTGACACTTCCTGTCTAAGCAATTGCACTTGTGATAGGTGTTCTGTCCTTTGGCACTCAATGTTCATACACTAGGTAACTGTTGTCGTGTTCGTTCTCGTCTGAATCGTTTTCGTTTATTATCTTTCTACGGAACTCCATACATCTTCGAAATAGCATCCGTGTGTCGATGTGCTTTCGACAGCAACATGTGTTCCGATCTTTTGCTCGCATTAGACGAACAAAGTGAGGTCGTACTTTTTCAAAACTTCGTTGTCTAATCTTGATGTGCGGGCGTGTCGCTTTCAATTCATTATATATTTCTGTCTGTGTTTTCTCTAGGATAAGGGTTGGGTAGCTTATATAGGATCTTACGTCAGTTCTTTTCATCTTTATATCAGCTGTGTTTCCAGTAGGTCTGGCATTATGTGGCGATGTCAATCAATCGTATACTGATTTCTTTTTCTTTTTTATATTTTTATATTTTTTGAATTTTTTCAACAGTACATTAAACATAACACATCATATTTCAGTCTCACATTCTTAATTTTCACACAAGTTTTTTGTTTGTCTTGACATTTTTTTAACATTCTTATATTTAGAAAAACAATTATTTTCTTTGTAAGTTTGAAACAAGGGAGTTCAATTTTGTTCTTTTCTTTTCCATTGAGAAATTCCACCGGTGAGCGCATAGAATTTTTCATGGTCTTAGGATAGAAACTCTTAATGCTATTAATAATAATATTCCAATATAATAATTTGTTCTCAAGTTAGAATCCTTGCGAGAAAATATTCTTTTCAGTAATTGTGACCTTGACTTTTGACAATTCATGCAAAAAAATTTTTTTCTTCTTTTCCATGGCCTAATGGCATACAACTAGTTTGAGCTTTGTGCGATTATTCCTTCCAAAGTTAGCTTCCAGCAAGACATAACTTCATGTAAACAGACAGACAGACATCCTTTTTGATTGATATATCCCATGTAATTCCTTTCAGGGGAACAATAATGAATGGACTTTCGAGGTTGTGCTGCATACTCTACTATAGAATACACAAAATACCACAGCTGAAATCAGATGTACATGCATCACAGTGTGTACATGCATTTCTCATGCATTTCAGTTTATCTACTTTAAACACTTGATAGAATAAACCGAAGGTTTGGTACAGGAATTTGGCTCTGAAATTCTGATAGGAGGCGTGGTAGTCCAGTGGTAGGACGCCGGGCTCGTGACCAAAGGATTGCGAGTTCGAGTCATGGCACGGTACTGTGTTGTATCTTTGAACAAGATACTTTACTCCGCTTGTTCCAGTCTACTCAGCTGTAAATGAGTACTTGGTTGGGCAGTACTAGAATTGTTGAATGCTAGCTGTTAGGCCGAAATGGCAGCTCCGGCTGTATGCTCCCCAGGGAGTTGAGATAGGAATTGGCTGGTTGCAAAGCCCCTATAACCATGGATAATAATTTGTAAACCGCTTTGAGACGACCTAGAACTAGGTTGTGATAAAGCGGTATATAAGAACCTCAAATTATTATTATGTGGTATGATATATATATATAGTTAAAGTAATTATTTAAACATTGTCAGAGTTTTGAACCAGTGTCTCATCTGTTTGCTTATCTTTTGAAAAACAATTTGAAAACCAGAAAATGATCACAAAGAACATGCAGAAATGATATTTTATCATATGGACACTATCAATTAATTGTATTACAAGTGAAATAGAAAATATTGGGTCAAAGTGACCTACATTTCATATACCATATTTTAGACCGGCTAACAGCACCAAAGTATTTTGAAGAATTTCCCAGCTGTATTTTACTTCTAACTTATCTTCCCCTAGTTCGAGAACTTAGGATCAGACTGCATCATGCATGTGATCGAAATGATTAAAGTAGATTTTTTCTTAATAATTCAAAATTCTTGAGACAGGGGCCAGTCTAACCCTATTTGTCTACATATGAAGTATGATGACTATTGTTACTATGGTAACGGAGCTAAACGTAACGTCTAAACTGTTAAAAAAGATGGATGGACCAACAGGAAAAGCTATTATCCCTTCACTATGTTGTTACTGTATTTTTGCTATACAAATGTAGATACACATATTTTTGTTTTAATCAGCTTTTTCAGTCTAATGTGCCAAACAATACCTAATGATATAATTAGTATTAATTACTAATAATCTAAATAATAATAATAATAATAATGAGAAAAAAAAATTGAAAATATTTATCTAATACAATCCATGCAGTTTAAATAGATCGGAAATCTCTGTCTATCATTCTAAACACTATATAATGTGAATCGACGAAACAAACCACGAGCATCATCAAGCCAGGACCTATCAATAATTATAAACATTCAATGCCAAAAGATGTTATGCATGATTGGTGACCACTAATTGTGGCTTAACCAATCAACAACGCATGTACAGAATATATTGTATAGCCCTTTTATATTGCAGGGCTACTATTTCACAGTGGTCTCGATCAGAACAATGTTGTGGGAACAAAATTTCACCCAACACTGCTGCCAAATGTCTCCGTCATTGGCTACTACCCTAACACTGATCTATAGATAGTTAAATAAGCACCCAACAACCACAGTCACAGACATGCCCAATTTACATGCAAATTTATTTACCTTTCAATAAAAGCCTGTTTGTCGGAAGATGAGTTGGTTACACATATTGCGTTATAACAATCTTGGTAGGGTAGGGTTTAAAATCAAATTATAATCAACACATCCATCGCATTGACAGCTGGTTGAAGCTTGGTCAACTAGATAAACAGGTCTATTCATTCCATATCCACAGATATCACAATAATGATATATGTTTATGCTCTGGATATTCAATTTAGTGCAATCTTTGATGACCACGAATACAGCAAAATTACAAATCCCATGAAAGATACCAACTATACAATATGTAATTCAGTTAGGTGCCAGTCAGTCTAGTAATTGTTAATACTGTAAGCAGAAAAATTACAGGGGAAAAAAGGTGTGTTATAGAAAAGATTGTTGTGGTAAGTATATTTTATCTTAGTGGTACTCTTTACTTAAGAATTCAATTTGTCAATGGGCCGTAAAAAAATACAACATAACAATAATTTTTGATGGTTACACTCGTATCGGAACATGTCTTTTTATTAAGCCATATCAAGAACACACTAAATTTCAATGGAGACATGAAATAGCATCTTTTAGTTTTAAGTACCCTGTAAGACATAGTGAATGAAAGCCAGAAGAAAATCTCTGAGTAATATTGATATTTATAACAGTCTACAGGATACAAACTATGGTTATATCTGTGTCTCTTGAGTAACATAGAATACTCATAATACCATTTAACTATTATCAAAAGATGAAAATAAAGAATAAAAATTAACAGAAGCTCTTTGATATATAGAAGAGAAAGGAAAACACACAATTTCCTACTGTTACACACCATTGACTTTGGCTGTCATCGATCTTCCACAAGGAACTGGAATCCCTCCAACACACCAAGGTCAAGGTCCCCTAAACTTCAAGGACATCATAAAACACTCTTGTTGGAGCTTGCTTCCTCTCTTCTTATTTACCGACTTGTGCAACATTAAAAACACCGATTTTTCTTCTTCTAATTTATAAGCTTGATTAATTCACTCCAGATCAATCTGATCAACGTCTTAAAGAAGTTGACAATGCCACTACAGAGCAAGCATATTCATTGCAGCACTAGCATTAACAAAATTCAAACCTGACAAGTCATGACAATCTTTCTGTTGATTACCTATGTTGCCAGAAAATCTAGTTTTTCTATATCGGTTACTCGATATTGCAGTTACAGAAGTAAACGTCACTATGGAACTGACTTCCTTGCAGGGACGTTGGGTCTCCACCCCCCTGGTGTAGGAGTGAGTTGTTCGAATTTCATTACATAGCCTTTGGCTTTGAATATTTCGGTAGAGAGTGAAATATGACTTTTGGTATACACTGTATCAATCTTACTCGGGCCATATCGGACCAAAAAATTAGGGAAGGTATAGGATGTAGAACATTTAAAATCATAATCCTGCATAAGTTAATGAATGTTTCACATAATTCTCATAAAGTTTTCATTTACTGTATATATCCATTTAATGTAGTGCATTTTTGAGAATGACTTTTAGCCCCTGTGCTGTTTGTAATCCTCACTAAATAAATAATTATACTATACATTTAAACACTTGTGAACTGAAACCGGAAAATTGATGGAAAAGTTAGCTTAAAGATATTTGCTTTTTTTTGAAATTGAAGCAAAATTCTAAACTCTCGAAGCATAATATTAGCTATTAATACAGAGTTATTTACTACATTTGTTGTCAATAGTGAGTATAGACTTGCCTAATTGGGTTTAGAGGAAAAACATTTTGAAATAAAATCCAAAACTCCAACATGACACCTCAGAAATCCAGCTGATGGTTACTGCTATGTCCCAGAAATAAATGGTTTATGATCAGTCACTGGTAACTGACTTGACCAAAATCTATTATAATTCTTCCCTTCTGGAATGGTATATACACTCCCTTCTTCAGCTTCAAACAGGTAGACACATCAACATCGTCCAGATTTGGATATCTTGTTGCTTAACAGTGAACACACTCAGTGGGTAGTTACAACAAAGTTTAAGGCTGGTCACTGAGAGACAGACAAGTGACAGATAACAATTGTTACTTGCCTGACCAGGATTTAAAACCAAGTCAAAATGACTCTAAAAGTCAGACATGTACACTCAACCTACTTTCCTTGTCCACATACACAACAAATGTAGACAGGTTGGCTCCTAACAAAATCTGAATAATTCTACAAATACTCAGTCCCAAATTAGGACGCCTGAAGGACCGACTTGTGGATTGAACAAGGTACACACTAAGTACTGTACAGTATATTGCGCAACATACTTACCATAAGTAATATTTGATATGTAAAATGTTGTCAAAAAGCCCCAGGATTTTCATTGATTAGTGGTAATTTGTTTAATTTGGGTTAAGTAAGGTAAATCTTGATGTCTAAGTATGAGGACAGCTGTCTACAGTACTTTATTGTTACTTCTTGTTGGTACTTCACTGTATTGATGTATCGTGCTGATCATAATTTTGATGGTCCCTGTAACTATTTTCCCTGGGTCTGCTCATCCTGTACATATTTATATATTGTATAGTTTAACATCTGGATAATTAATAAACGCAGAACCGTCTATAACTGATCATTATAATACTTGTTAAACGTCAAGAACATGACATCAACACGAGATCTAAACATTTAGGGCGAACGAATCCGGAAAAGCAGGTCGTGATACTACGTAATCAAGGAAGTTACGCAGGCACTGCAGGCGATACAACATAGGGCTGATGAAAATGAAGTTATATCTCCTTCGAATTAATTTGATACCTCTCTTGTTCTTCGTTCCGTTCTTTTTCGCTGTAGCCAGCTCTCCCTCAATTTTCTTTTCAAGGAATGCTGACTTTTTCATCAACATTTCCTGCACCTCACTCAAATTTTGGATGGCCTGTTGTGGTGTGACCGTCTCCTTATTTTTCCCTCCGAACATTTTGGTGAACAACGACATCTTGATTGAAATATATTGGTGCTAATGACAGGAAAACAGAAAAAAGACGTTGATATCATGAAATGTATTCAGCACAGACTGACATTGAGTCACAAACCTATTTCTAGTCTAGTACACAGTTAAGTTTATTCGAGATTTGATTGGTCAATTTTGTGTGTATTGACAGGAATACAGGGGAGATAACAGGGAACATACCGGAAGGACTAAGTTTTCCATTATATTTTTTCATAATAAAATTTCCATCTTAGTTGGTCCATAACAACTTCGGAGACGCAAATTATACAAATTTTAACCAAGCATGTTGCTATTTTCTGGCTCAGCATGTAGCGGCTACTGCAGTTAAACATAACGTATAAGCTTATTTTAGTTAATTTTTCGCCATGATCTACCCGGCAGCAGTCCGCTTTGGTTATCAAACTGAAACTCTGCATATTATAGAAAACGTTTGATTAAAGTAACTGTTTAATAAAGGCAAAGACAAAATGAATGTTTTCAGCAACCATAAAACTGCATGCTACAGAAAAAGTGTCAACTTTCGGTTTCGTTTTACCAAAACTCCTGGCTTCTAACAGTCAAATTAATCTATAAACGGTTTGATAATTAATTGATCTAAATTTGTTTAGTCAACCTGAATCTAGTTTGAACACACTTTCAAGATGCGCGTCCCGTTTACTGATATATCACTTTATGCAATAACAAACACTTTGACCTAAACTGAAGCAGGCAGGGGCAAGTTTAGCCCATTTTTACCTGTTTAAAAAAATCGTTCTGGACAGTTAAGCATTGTTTAAATTTAGTCTTAAATCTATATATATACTGTAAGCTATACACCATTTGGAAGAGATTTCCATGTTTTTTATTAAAAAAAAATAATAATCAAAAGGCAAACTCGTCCGTATTTTAAAGAATTAATCAACTCTTTCTGTCGGAAGATTGGATGGCCGACTGCCCTGCTAAAGGGGCAAGCTCGGTAAGCAGTCTTTGGTAAGTTCGGGCCACGAGTTGCGGAATCAGCAACGTCAGATTTAGCCCGAGTTTCCTCTGGCTACGCCAGATTTTCCCGCCATTTTCCAACCTTTCCCGGTATCATGGGCCAAACCGTTCTCGTATACCGTCATGCAGAGATGTATATACGTCTCTGCGTAATCAATCATTGTGTTACACGTATGACATATATAAATCTAAATAAGTATCATCAATTCGGTTTACAGAAATTCGCTGAAAGCTGAAAAATGAGGTCGGTATTTTCTTTCTACCTTCAAAAAATAACTTACACACCTTTAGTAATAAAAACATCGACGTTTCCTCGTCATCTCTTCGTTCAGTCGCTAACGTCCTCAACATGTATATTTGCTCAAGACCAAATATATCAGAAGTTGGCAGCACTTGTCCCAGTGTCCTCTATATTTAGCCTCGCTCTTTGTTTAATATTTTATTGAGACGGGGTTCTATTTCAACTGCATACAAATACCAAACTGATCTCTAACAACCATTCCTCCTTTGTCATAGCATCTGTCGCTTTTGTATAAGAAAAAAGAAATAAAAATTATATTATTTTCGAACATAATATCGCATACGGCGGCCACAGCCTCCCTCTCCC